AAGTTGTGCTTTGCCAACTGAATGTTTGGGTTGATCTGCCAAAAAATTAAATCATTCTTTGCCTTCCAGATTGTCCAACACATCAAAATTATGATTTTCATGAAAAAGAGCACTTGAAGCTGATCTTTGAAGTTCTGCAGATTCTCAAAGGGGTCCAAAGTGGAGTCAACCTGAATATTGATGAGGGCCCAGCATTGAATGGCAAAAGGACAGTCTAGGAAAAGATGAGATAGTGATTCCTCCACAGTTGTATTGCATAAAACACAATTGTAATCCTGTAGCAGCATGTTTTTCCTCTTTAGAAGTTCTCTAGTGCTTATTTTGTCTTTCAACACTAACCAAAAGAAAACTTTGTGCTTGGGCTGACAGGAACACCCCCACAGCCACTTGTAAGCTGGATGAATGTGTACCTGACCACTTAGATGCTTGTAATTCCAAATGTAAAACCAAATGTCAAGTAAGTTACTGACACTGAAGCCATCTAAAATGCTTTGAAGCTGAACCATCTGCAAATATGAGGCAAATGAAATAGACTATGCATGGGTGTAGTAGCCAATCCTTCGGCAGTGATGATTTTCTTCTACTTTACAAAAGAGTAAAGCTTGGGGAATTTTTGCGACAAGATTTCGTCTCCCCAAAGATCTTCCCAGAAATGGCGGGACTGACCATCTTTTATCAGGACTCTAGCCATACCTCTGAACTTGTCCAAAAACTTGAGAACATCTCTTCACCAAAAAGATCCTTTTTTGGTGTCCCCAGATAGATTTCCATTGCTATAGTATTTTTCCCAAATCAGTGAGACCCAAGGGATGTCTACTTTTGTTGAAGAATTTGTGCAAGTGTTTCATGAGCAAAGCTTCATTCCGAGTCTTGATATCCAGTACCCCTAGTCCACCCTGATCTTTAGACTTGCAGACACTAATCCAGGCTGCTTTTGTTTTTTGTTTGGCATTGAAGTCAGCACCCCTCCAGAGACACAGTTTCCTGAGTTTGTCAATTTGATCTATCAGTTGCAGCAAGAAAGTGCTAATGCAGAAAAGTGGGCATGGCTGATAAGACTGAATTGGTGATTTCTAGTCTTCCTGCCTGGTTCAGAAAAATTGAAGTTGCAGCTAGCCTTCTTTCACATTTATTCACCAAGGGAGAAAATCAATAATTCTTGGCTTGGTTAGACTGAGTGGTAGCCCCAAATAAGTAAAAGGGAAGCTTCCAATCTTACATTAGAAAGTTCTTGCAGGGTGCTGAAGCTTTTCTGGACTTGTATTGATGGGTACCATGAAGGACTTAGCATAATTGACTCTCAGACCAGTTGAGTCACCAAAAGTTTGCAGGAGAGCCTTAAGAGTCCAGAGCTGCCTACCACAAGCCTCCATTACCAGAAGAGTATCATCAGCATATTGGATTATTGGAAAATCATCATTGTAGCTTAAGGGTATTGGAAAGTTTAACAGCCTCGGGTTTTTAGCCTTATTGATTATTGACTGAAGGAGGTTAGTAGCTAGAACAAAAAGGAGGGGTGATAAGCGGCCACCTTGTTTGACCCCTCTCCTACAGTGAAACATTTTCCCAGGCACCCCATTCAGAAGTACTGAAGAATTTCCTAAATCAAGGATAGCCTTTATCCAATTAATCCATCTTTACCCAAAACCCTTTGCTCTCAGGATGTCAATCATTGCTCCATGTTCTATCTTGTCAAATGCCTTTTCAAAGTCCAATTTCAGAATGATGAGTTCTCTTTTAGACTTGTGGCAAATGTGAATGTATTCTAGAGCCCAAGCCAGGCAATCCTGGATAGTTCTAGATTTGATGAAGCCATACCGATTTTGGTGAATGAGGCTCTTGATAGGTTTTTGCAATCTGTTGGCCAGAATTTTGGTTAACAGCTTGATGGAAGAATTAAGCAGTGAAATTGGTCTATAATCAGACACCTCTTGAGGGCCATCTGTCTTTGGGATTAGCACAATATGAGAACTGTTGATGCTTCTCAAGCAAGTTTGCCCACTGAAGAAACCTTCACACAACTTGAAAAAGTCAAAGGAGATCAATGATCAGCATCCCTTTAAGAATTCATTGTTAAAACCATCAGGTCGTGGGGATTTGTTGTTAGGTAGATTTAATACAATCCCTTCTATTTTCTTCCTTTGTAAAAGGTGTTTCCAATCTTTCTAGATTTTCATCAGGCTGCAAGAGTTGTCCAAGGTCAAAGAATATTTAGGAGAACTCAGTTTTGCCCATTCTTTCTTTAAAAGTTGTCCACAGAATTTCAGCCTTAGCCTCATGGCTAAAAACCTCATTGCCCAGATTATACATGCGATGCTATTTTTTTCTATGCCTTATTGTTGCATGAGCATGAAATTTTTTTGTACCAGCATCTCCCTCCTTGACCCATCTTATTTTCCCCCTTTGCTTCCAATATGTTCTTTGTTGCTTTAATAATGAGATCAATTTTCCAGAAATTAGATTCTTGAAGTTCCACTCAGGCAGTGACAAGCCTCTGTAAAGTTCCACAGTCTCAAGCAAGTTCAACACCAGTTTGATATTTTCAATGGTCCTCTTCAGTCCTGGTAGCTGCCCCTTCCAGTTCCTCAATTCTTTCCTAAGGTTCTTAAACTTTGTTGTTATTCTTTTTGCTGGGTCAATTATGTGATCAGGAGTTGACCACCCATTTACTGCCACTTGTGGGAACTCCTCATGACTTAGCCAGTAATTTTCAAATATGAAAATACTTGATTGAGGGATTGTTGTGCCTATTTCAACACATGGCCAGTGGTCAAATGTCTCCATGACAAGGGTTTTGACTAATGAATTTGAGTATTTGGAAGTCCAAGAGTTGGAGGTGAAAAACCAGTCCAGCCTTTCCAGGAGTGGTGGGAACTATTTGTTTGTCCAAGTAAAGTGTCTGCCATGAAGTGGCAGTTCTACCAGCCCTAGCTTGCTAATGGCTTCATTAAAAGCAAACATTTCATTTGGGCCAGCTCCCTCTTTGTTTCTATCTTTTGGCCTTCTGATTAAGTTGAAATCCCCCACCACCAACCAATCAATGTCATGTGGCATATCAATCTCACCAAACCATTCTAGAAACTCTATTTTACCAGATAGGGTGCAAGGAGCATAGAAAGTAGTTAAGATCCATGTGTCATTGCTGAGCTTAGAGGTGAACTCAATGGAGAGGGCAAAGCTGTTGCTGAAAACCAGGTTGCCAGAGAAGGCAACACTTTTCCAGGCTACTATAATTCCACCTGAGGCACCAATGGAAGGAAGGAACTGAAAGGCATCAAAGTCTGGGGGCAGAAGTTTTTGATGTAGTTGCTGTCAAATCTCTCTCTTTTTTGTTTTCCGGAGACAAATGATATCACTTTTACTCTCTACAATCTTGTCTCTGATTGAGTTCCATTTCTTGTCAGAATTCACTCCTCTGACATTCCAGTTCAAAATCTTCCAATCTTTGTGTTGTGTCATGTGGAACAAGTGGAGTCTGAAAGAATAGGGGCAGGAAGACAATCTTCCATGCAGACACCCAAAACCAAATAGAACAACAGAGAAAAGAGTAAAGCACCAGCAAAATAGAAAAAAGCAAAGAAGCAATAACGAAGAGCAACCACCAGAGTTTTACTTAACAACAGGTCCATCAGACACCAATTCAGATTACAAAAGGTAGGACTTCTAACAGGTACGGAAATAAAGGGCAAAACAAAATAAACAAAACGCCCAAACCACCAGCGAGGTTCGAGGTTTAGTGGTCTTCATTCTTGTTATCATTCATATCCTCATTCTTGTCCTTGCCATCCTTGCTCTCTTTACTTTTCTTCATTTTCTTGCCCACTGGCTCAAGCTTGTTCTTTATCATCAGGATGTCTTCTTCCAGCTGGTCAGCCTGCAGGTTACAGAGAGCTGTCCCTAACTCCTTCAGAGAGCACGGTGACAGGGTCGGTGGTGAGGCATTGCAACCAAGGCAGTTCTTGTAACACTTTGGTATTACGAGCTCACTAAGCATTGAGATTACGGCATGAGAAATAGATCTATAAGTATAATGAGTTAGTTTAATCAAATGCGATAATGAAAATCCTAACAAAAAAAGAAAAGAAAAGTAGTTTTAATTGTTTGGCACGAAAAGCGATTTCTATAAACTAGAATAAAACATAACTTGTATTTAGTACTTACATAAAAATTGAAGTACAAGTTTTGTAGATGAAAATGCAACATTAACGTTTGGGAAGTAAAGGTTGTTAATTAGTGTTCTTGGAAGCTCAAAAATCAAATTGGAAATTAAAATTAGTCCTTTTCGTTGGATCGGCAAAAATTTGAAGTTGTGTTGAAAGTACACTTTTTGGCGCTTTATAAAATGCAAAATAGTTAAATAACGCCCTAATATTTTGGTTCTATTGTTTGGTATAAAGTGTGTGCTATGCCGTGAAATGGTTGTTGGTGAAGTTTGGTAAAGTTTTGACCGTTTAAAAATTCAACCAAAAGTGCTAGGGAGCGTTAGTTCTAACTGGAATCTTGTGAGTGTGTCGTGTGCTCTCGTGCCTGTAATAAAAAAAACTAGGCATATTTAGAACGTAGGAATTTTATAGAAATTATGGAGAAATTTCACAGGAATCAATTTAATTTCATAAGAACACTGTAACAAAAACCTTCGTCGCATCACAAACAGGTCTAAAGAAGGAATCAGGCATTTTTGTTTTTGCACGCTTTCGCACACGACAGTGCATACTTGTGCCCTTTGCATTTGGAGGTTGGCAATCAGGTCTGGGTTTCGTGGTACGCACGACTTGTGAAGCGAAATATCTCGAAATTGTGTTATTTGAATGAAAAAAAGCAAGCACAATCCAACCTTGGAAGCTTCAACTACCTTCATACACTATACTACTATTATTAGGGCGTGTTTTTTTACGGGAGAAGGGACTAAAGACTACCAGCGTGTTCGGCTATATATGGCCAGGCGGCCCATGGGCAGTGTACGGCACTAAGACGCACTGCACGGCCTTTTGGCACGGCCCATGGGCGCGACTTGCAAGACGGAGCCCGTGCAATGCATGGGGCAGCAGCTGGCCCATGACACGGCACAGACGGCACTCAAGACGGCCAGAGGGTCAAGACGGTGGCCGCACGGCCGCCAGCCAGCAACGGCCTTTTTGGCCCAAATGCCCATGCCCACACCCCGCGCCATATATATAAGCCACGCAGCCCCCCGCCCCCAAATCCCTAACCCTAATTCTTTTGCCCCCCCTCCGCCTCCGCACCGCGGCCGACCTCGCTCGACCTCTCGAACTCGATCCCGCCGCCGTCGCTTTGAGCTTGAGCACGCCTGCCCTGCTCCGGTGACCTCGACACCTCACCTCGCCGGCCACTTCTTCTCCTCCTCCTGCCCGCGCAGTCGCAGCTCTCCTCCGCTCTCGCTCTCGAGTCTCGATTCGAAGTCGAGACGAACTCGATCCGATCCGATCCGCCGCCGCCGTTCGACTTGACCACGCATGCCCTCCTTCTCCCTCTCGTACCTCCTCCAGTCCTCCTCCTCCTCCTCCGGTGTACCATGTGAGTCGTTGAGTCTGTATATTCTTCCACCGCCACTCGCCGTGACGCCGCCGGTCTAACGGTGGGTGCTTGTCTCTGTCGTTCTTCTGCTTGGATCTTTGGCTCCTTGGCTTCTTCTCCAAGACTGGGGCTCGGTGGCGAGGTCGATCAAAACCCCTAACCCTAGCATGTTCATGTTCTTGTTGGCTTGTTCTTCATCTTCTTCTTCTCTGCATCTTCCTGAGTTCTTGTGTTGTGTTCTAATGCTCTTCTTCTTCTTGTGCTCATGTGCTTCGCAGGTTGGTGCCTGACGCTTTGTCCTCCTCCTCTGGAGGCTCGATGGCAAAGCCGTCCGGTTTGAAGCGCCCCTGCCCACCGTCGAGGAACAGTGCTGGAGCTGCGGCTAGGGGTCGGAACCAGCCTCCCCAACCCCAACCTCCTATGGCCTCGGTGACGATGCCAGTGCCTGCGGATGAGTACAACCACCGTGCCGACGGCGAGCACCCCGAGGCCGAGGAGGCCGTGGAGGAGTTGGAGATTGAGAACGACGACGACATCACCGAAGGCGCAGCTGCGCTGTTCGGCGAGCACCCGATCGATGTCGACTCCGGCGACGGCGATGGTGGGGTGGACACCTCTCAGTCTTAGGACACCAATGGTGCCTCATCTGGTAAGCTCACTGCTGCTTGTTGGGAGGACTTCGTCCCGATCTTTGACGAGTCAGGGAAGATTAGAACTCATGCCATCTGTAAAAGGTGTGGTAAGAAATTTGTTGCTAGGGCCAATATTGGCACTGGATCCTTGAATAGGCACATGGCAACATGTAGGAAGAAGTAGGACAATGGTCGTAGGGTTCAGTCTAGGCTTTCTATGAATGCTAATGGGTTGCATAACTGGGTTTATGATGCTGCTCGTGCTCGTAATGAGCTGTGCCGGTTGATTGCTAGGCTGGATCTTCCATTAGGTGTTGGTGACACACAGGCCTGGGAAGATTACATTCAGAATGCTCATAATCCTACTTTCCAGAAGGTTTCTAGGCAGACCACTACTAGGGACATGCATAAGTTGTTTGCTGAAGAGCGTGCTTTGCTTATGCATTCTTTTTCTTTTCACTGTTCATCTGTTTCCATAACATATGATATCCGGTCCGGTAATGCTAAGGAAGATTATGTCTCTCGTTGTTGCTCATTATGTTGGTGCTTGATTGGGAGTTGCATAAAAGGTTATAGGGTTTAGGCTGATTGAGGCAAAGACATATCTTGGTGACAACATTCTTTGAGAAAATTTGTAGTGTGGTTGAGGAGTTTGGTTTGATTGATAAGGTCTTTCTTTGTGAGTCTTGATAATGCTTCCGCTAATTCTAAGGCTTTTGATATCTTGCAACCTATGTTGTTTGGTTACCTAGGCTCTTACCCAACACCTACTAAGGAAGATCCTCACAAAGTCAAGTACTTGCTTGTGCATCAGCGCTGTGCATGCCATATCATTAACCTGATTGTTAAGTCTGGCTTGAAGAGGTTCAGTCCTTATCTTGAAGCTTTTAGGACTGCAATCAACTTTTTGAATTCATCTAATCAAAGAATTGCATTGTTTAAGAACTATTGCATTGCTAGGGGTGTCAGACCTAGAAAGTTTGGATTGGATATGGATGTTAGGTGGAATTCCACCTATCTCGATGCTTAAACACTTAGCGCCATATAGAGATGTGTTTTCGTGTGGATTGAGTCAAATTATGGTGAGCAAGCTGTTGACTCCCCAAAGACCGGTATGTCTTGATCGATTATGAAGTTCTGGAGATGTTTTATGATGCAACTGTTGCTTTTGTGCGGTGTTTACTATCCAACTGCTCCACTTATGATGCATCATATCCTTGACTTTCTTTGAGCATTTGCATAAAGTGAACTTGATCCTGGATTTAGAAGTATTGCATCTCCTATGAAACTTAAGTTCCTTAAGTCTGGGGGACATCCCATTGTTGTATTCTTATGCATTCATTCTTGATCCAAGAGCTAAGATGAAAGGCTTCTTTAATGTGCTTGAGTTACTTGCTAAAGCAGATTGGTACCCCTTATGGTGTTTACTATGGTGATGTGAAAGAGTCCATGACCGATCATGTTTAGCAAGTATGAGCAGAAGATGGTGCATTTCGGTCTCAAAGGCCTCCTATGCCTAGTGCTCCTTTGGAAAAAGGAAGAAGTGCATGGGGAAAGATCTATGGTGGTCCTGGTGCTTCCTCCTCTCTAGTTTGTTCCCCACTTCATCCTCTACACATCCGGTGTCAATGAGTCGATAGCTTACTTGGACAAGTGATCCCATCACCGATTGGGGGAGTCCTTTGACATCCTGTTGTGGTGGCGTGACCACAAGTGACCTACCCCATCTTATCGATAATGGCTCGCGATATCATGTCATTCCTGTATCTCGTGTGTCCTCCGAGTCTTGTTTCAATTTGCATGTTAAGGATACTTGAAGACCGCCGGTGGCGCTTGTTGCCTCGAGCATGTGGAGATGCTCACCGCATCAAGGATGGGATCATAAAGAAGGAAGGAACAAGATGCACCGAGGACACGACCTTTGGAGGAGCTGTTCGACAACTTGTACTGGATGAAGGCGAAGGAAGCGGAAGCGGCGGCGACGGTGACAGATCTTCTTTGGTCTTTGGTCGGATAGAAGAAGAAGAGAACCTCTACAAAAGGAGAGGTAGAGTACATGAAATTCTAAAACTTGTTCCATTAGCTTGTTCCATTAGCTTGTTTACATTACATCTTCAAGTCCATGACCATCAATCCATCATGATCCATTTTTGCAAAAGTTGATTGCACTTTTGGGAGTGGTCGCCAGTCGATTCACCATGATGAAGCTTGAAGCATGAAGTGATGAAGTAAGGACATTTGCTGCTTCTTGTTGCCACAATGCCACTGTTGGGCTTTTGTAATAGGATAGAAGAACATTTGTCTTCTTTGGGTGCACGCCACCGCCTTATCGATGTTGGCTATTGTAATAGGATGAACTACTTAGACTTGTGCTTGAACTAAGACTTGACTACTTGAGCTAGATGTACTCTTTTCCTTTCTAGGGTTTCTCAAAAGGGTAAGTTTTACCTAGAAAGGTTTTTAATGAGGTGACATTGCACAACAAACTCTTTTGACTTTTGATAATCATTTTTATTATATCTTCATTGCATTCGTTTCTTTACTACTTTATAATTACGTGACATATGATCATTTGAAGTTTTGAACTTAGACTTTGGAATTTTTTGTTGATTTTGAGTGTTTTTTTTGATGGGTCAGGGTCAAGACGCAAGACGGTCAAGACGACAATGACACTGCATTGCACGCCAAGATGTTGCCAAGCATGCAGCGTCTTGAAATGTCGCACGACGGCATTAACTATATGTTCGGCTCGGCTTGTCTCAGCTTGTTTCAGCTTATTCTATCTCACAGAACACTGTTGAATGAGTCAAAATCAGCCGGAACAAACTAGTACACAATAGTCTTGTGTACCAGCCGAACGAGCTGTAAATTTATCTTAATTAGGTCCTATTTAGATCCCATGGTAAAACTTTAGCCCTGTATTTTTAGCCCTCTTTTTTTTGCCATGGGAATCAAACAATGGGGCTAAAAGTGACAAATGGCTAAAAACTGGACTAAAATCTTTTGCTCCTAAAGAGGCCATAAACTGGGCTAAACTCCCTCGGGGCGAGCGCGGGACGTCCCATACCTCTTGCCGCTCGCATGCATGCCTGTGTATGAATAATTAAATGAGGGTAAATCAGTCATTGTAGATTAGATGACTAAAATTTAGTCCATGGATCCAAATAGTCCAGCAAGACTAAACTTTAGTCCTTGAACTAGTGATCCAAACACCACCTTAATATCTTTGAAACAAATAGCAGAGACTAAAATAGAGACTAGAAAATATAGTAGTCCCTTGGGGTCTCCCTCCAAGAAATGGGTCAAAATTGTGCACATGACGAGAAGTGTGCCGACCTACCTGCATGTGGCAAGCGAATCGGTGCACACAACAAAATATCCCCCATCTCTCCAGTGACGTGTGTCCATCATTCAGCACTCAGCAGTGCCTAATTTTTCTTTCACAATTTTCCCATGTTTCCCGCTGCTATTAGCGTCTGACAGACATGGCCTGTACTGCACCCCTGGGCCCTGGCGCGACTTGGAACTTGGAAGAAGAGACGCGGCTTGTTGGACCTACGCCTACTACGGCGGAGAGGGAAACGCACGCTATGGGAGGGAGAGTCTTTCCTTGCAAGAATGCTCAACCCCTGCACGGCAGCCAACTACTTACTTATTGGCCGGGGAACGAACGCCACAGACTCCAGGAATTGCCATTGCAGGTTAGACATGTCAATGATACACCTCCCGTCATGCCGTCCTGCAGTCCATCCAGGTGCCTAACTTCCCTTCTTCCATTCACGGAGCATTTCCTTGCACTACTTCATACTTTTGTATCACTTCATTTTTGTTTGAGAAATTTGCACATAGTTTGGTAGAGCGAGCGTGCATATGCATATGCATGGCTGTCATGACAGGGTAATGCATGCAACAGTGTATAGGGCTGCTGGATCAGGAGGGAGCACACTGCTCAGATCAGCGGCGGATCAGAGACCAAGCTCGAGATCAAGAAAGGGCGTCGTCCTGAGTTCTCCGTCGCCGCGGCCGTCGCTCGCCCGATGCGCTCTGAAGACGCCCTCGTATGGCGGATCGAGGGAGAAGGTCAACCCCAGAGACCTGTTCACCTTCTCCTACAAGTTCAGCACCGACATCCCGATGAGCGAAACGCAAGGGGTAGGTTGCAAGTGCTTAAGGATTGGCCGGCTTGGGGGTTTTTGCTCTGCACGACTGGACATCTCAGATGATCTGATTCCATGGAGGTTCTCTCTCTGTCTCTGTCTCTGCAGGCGTCCATCGATGAGTACCTGCAGAACAGTCCCAGGATCGTCGGAGCCGTGTTTCCGGATCAGCGCAAAAGAAGAAAGATCAACGATGTGAGTTCCCCCGTCGTTTCTTCATCAATTTCATGTCTCAAGTTCTGTAGTACTGGTGTTGCTCAGAAGTCAGAACGTGTTCGCACTGAAAATGCTGAAAGTTTTTCGGTGCCTTTCATTTCATCTCATTGGCTCTGAAACCTGAATTTCCGGCGAGATCAGTAATCAGTTACAGTTCCCTTGCCGGCAACCAATGGCTTCAACGTTACGAAACGGGAGAAGGAAGCACTGCTTGGGCGACCTATCACCTATGCAAGAGAGCGGGTGAATGACACGTACACGCAATGCTAACAGAGTGCCACTGGCTGCCGTCTTTCTTTCAGGAAGAATGGAGCGTGCAGCTCTTGCCCATCCAATTCCTCTTCCTGTCGGCGTCGCCGGTGATCGTCATGCGCTTCGTCAGCAAGTCCGGCGGGAAGGAGTACCCGCCCAACGTCCCCGTCCACGCCACCAGCCTCCTCCTCATGGAAGTGGTAACTGACACCACTCCATCACTCCCGGATCGTCATGCGTCTGTCTGAATGTAATGTACCCTGACGTGCTTTGCTGCTGCTGCTGCTGCTGCGAGCAGACGGACTACAAGCTGAATGGTCTGGACAGCAACGCCATGCCGTCGCACCTGGCCCTCACCGTGCGAGGCCTGATGTACCCGCAGCGGCAGCGGGAGGGGAAGAAGAGCCTCAAGGGCCACGTCGAGATGACCGTTGGCTTCGACCTCCCGCCGGTGCTCGCCTTGGTCCCGGAGAGCATCATCAGAGGCGTCGGCGAGACGGTCAGAGCTTAAATTCATCTCCTCACCTGCTCTTGCAGAGAAACAAACCATCGGTGTTTTTCTTCACCGGAATGATTGACATGCATTTCGTTTGTGATGAACAATGCGCAGGTGTTGAGGCAGATGGCGGAGCAGATGAAGCAGGACTTGGGCACGGGGCTGGCAGCAGATTTCAAGAAGTACAGGAGGGAGAAGCTAACTGAGAGGCGCACATCGCCCTGAATTTTGACACATTTCACAATCACAGCCCTGTATCAATGTATCATCAACAGTAGCCATGACTAGGAATTCTTTGGACTCGCCGTGTTGTCAACCTCTTGCACTATTCTTCACCAGTTGGATCTGGATGACACCAAATAATGATAATAACTTGATGTATCACATTTTATTCATTGTAAAAATGTTGCTCATAATTACAAGAGTATCCATCCAATTTCAAAGAAATTTCTGGTCTCGAGCAATTTCGTCTGTGTTTGCTGTCAGACTCGTCTGGTTCCTTTTCAGCTAGGGACTTCTATGTACTACTATGCTGTATACAAGGCCTAGGGCCCATGCTTCCAACAGGTAGATGAATACAATTAACGATTCTATACAGTGTAAACAGACAGTTCTAGTCTTCCAGTGGTGACCGCTTTCTCGCCCTTAAGTCGCGCTCCAGGCTTTGAGGCAATGGAGGAGTCCTTCCACGGCGGAAAAGAACAGCAAGGGCTTTCATGTTACGGCACATGTTGAAAACCTACAAACGAGCACAGTCGTGACGAGTTGTACATTATGATCAGTTGGTAACCAGAAACCGTTAAGGTCCACCAAATAATTTACTTACTGATGATGCTTCTATCTCTGCAATTCCCTCGCATCCTTGACCGCCGCCCTGCAGAAGGTCGCAGTATTTTACAGCATCGTCTTCATCCTCAAATATCTGCAGCAAAGGATGGAAACGATTCAGAAGAATATAAAGCAAGTAACTGTACCAAATATCACATCTAGGTTTTTTCAGGAAAGTGCAATGGTGTCTTCTTTTACTATGGTACAAAAGTGAGTATTGATTCGGCTTATAACAAGATGTATATCCACGCTTTTCTTTAGGCATATATGGCCAACACCTTATTAGTAATTCTACTGCAGTGGTCAATAAGTCCAATCTCCTGATTTTTTTTTCATGTTTGATCAAGAAACTAGCAGCATAACCTATATTTAGCTCAATTTGTGCATAATCTAAAAGAGTGTGAATATGATGGATTAAATAAACAAGTTAAATGTGTTAAGACAGCCAGAGGAAAGAAAAGAACCAGTTGCCTACGAAGAACATGCCCTCAAAAATTCATCTCAAGCCAGCAAAGTACTCACCAGTACTCCCTCTCTGATATCTTCAACAACCATGTTAAACTTGGAGCCAGAGTACTTTGATTGAGTTCCAACTCCAGAACCCCCTCCCTTTGAGAAAAGCTTTCCAAGTTCCCTTTCAACTTCGCTGAGAAGACAATAATAGATAACACCAGCAGTTCATACGGTTCAGTAAATTGCAGACTCGTGACAGGCTAAATGTAACAGCATCAATAAATTCTCACTTGCGGCTCCTGCGAGTTTTCATTGTCCATAGGTGGTTATCGCTTCTGGCCAGCACATAGACTGGCTTGGAATCTTCTCTCCACGGGTTTGTCTCCAGTACTGAATCATCATGAAAGTGCACAGAGTTAATAAATTTAAAATTGCCACGTGCCAAATTATCATGTATATTTAGCATAAGGATTTTTTGAAAAAAAATGGCAACTGATAACTTTTCAAAGTATGTGCATCAGCTCAGCTAATCAAATATCCACAGCTATTTGACCATTGGATACAGTCTCTAGTTACTACAAGAAGATTATGCATATCAATTAGTAATGGCCCACAACAGGCTTGTCCAATTGGTCAAGTAGCACGACACATGATATATATTGAATCTGAGGAAACTGCTATGGCTGCAAGAGCTAATCATTAGCCTACAGATGAAGCCATATCTTGCCCACTTGAAACTGCACATCTCAAGAAACACAAGACGCGTGAACCAACCCACAAGCCTCGCAGAGTAGATGCTGATCCCCAATTGATTGCAGCACGCAATCCTCCCGTGCACACAAAGATCGCATCATTGGACAATTCGTACCACGCGTTTCATCAAACACGCCGCGCGCACAACTAAACCCTGAACATTTCGGCCTAACAGACACGAACACCTTAAGCTATGCTAAATCGCTAAACCCCAAGCGTTAAACCAAACTAAGTTAACGCAACGAGAACTTGATCGATCATGGAGAGGCTTAATAAGATCCAAGAAGCGATACCGTCGTAGGCGAGGGAATCGAGCGACTCCATGAGGTGGCGCCGCATGCCGTAAGCGCGGGAGGAGACGCGGCGCAGGAACTCGTCCGAGGTCCCAGGTATGCCTCCATCCATCCCTATCGCCCTCTCCACCTCCTGCTCGTCGCCGTCCCCCTCCGACGGCGGCGGAAGCCGGGGACAGGGCGACGCGGCCGCGGCCACGACCGTCCGGCGGTGCGCCGCGGCGAGAGCGCAGGCGCGGCCGCAGGATGGACAGGAGCGAGGAGGCCGTGAGGTTCCCGGCCAGCGTGGTGGAGGCCGCAGCCGCCGCTGCCGGCGGCGGCGGGAGGACGGCGAGGAAGCTGCCATTTTACGTTCCACAAAAAGCGAGGCGACGAGGCGGACCAGTGCGAGGAGTGAAATGGGGAGCGAAACGTGGACAGTTGGACACGGCAGCCACGCTACAGTCTTCCAGATATCTTTCTTTGTACTTCCACCGCGGATGTTGGGTTCGGCACGTTTCGGAACTCAATTCAGACGCGGCTTCGGTCGGACTCCTTGTCGTGTGGCGGGTGGCGGCGACCACGGCCCGGCCCGTCCTACCGCGCTCCATTTTGGACCCGTCTTGGGTGTGCAAAGGCTGAGTGATGTTGGGCTGGAAGAGGATACACAGGCCGGGCAGCGAGCTTTTCTTTAGAAAAAAAAACACAGAAATCTTACGACAAAATAGTATCTGACTTATCAGGAGTAAAAACCATCAGCCAAACAAAACGTATACCTTATTTTATTTATTTTATGGGTCTGATTATTACATCTCTCCTTCGTTTGTTGAATAGCTTATTTTTTTTCTTTGGCTCTACGAGCAACTTCGAGTTGAAGCCAGTTTAATAGCTTTTGTTAAAAAAGCTCCTTACAATAGATAAATAAAGATAAAATATTCATAACAACTTAATTTTTTTCTTCTCTCCCGGATAAGATCTATGCGCATGGATGAGGAGCCGAAAAAAGACTTAGGATGCGGGGTAGATATCTTTGAGCTATTTTAGTTTAAGGTAGAGGACTTCTCACCTAGTCCGAGAAAACCTCCAAACCCCATGCCCTGCCCACACACAAGGGCATGTTACCCGGTGAGAAGGCCAGTCTATTTTATCTGTGCTTTGGGAACGCGGGACAGACGAGGGAGTTTTTTTCACACCACCGACCAAAAATTCGTCTGACCAAGGATTCGAACTCTAGTCACGGGAAATACCACCCGAGGCTTGACCAACTGGTCTAGCAAGAAGTTATTTTTTTTTTACTCCTTGCATCTCATCCAGCTCCAGAGAGGTAAAATAGCCAGTGGAGCGGAACGGAGTAGTTTTTTTTACTCCTTGCATCTCATCCAGCTCCAGAGAGGTAAAATAGCCAGTGGAGCGGAACGGAGTAGCGACACTCAGTCCTAGGTAAAGCTGTCTTTGCAACGGTTATGAGCGCACTACCAAACACGCTCTATATTAGGTAAATCAAGGGCCACCATATGCTAGGAAATAGAATTAAAACATGTGTATCTAGGAATATAAAAAAATTAAGGGCTTGTTTGGAATACATGAATTTTACAGGAATCTCACAGGAATTTTACAAGAATAAGTTTAATTTCACAGAAAAAACGTAGAAACAGTCATTTTTTCCCGCAATCCAAACAGACCTTAAGCCTATTTAGAGGCTTCTAGACGAGTTTACTTGTGGTTTTTACTCTTTTAATTTTTACATTTTCATGAGATATATATGGAGTTTGTGTAGTATACATGTAATGTTCTACGACATGTTCTCACAGTATATGTGAGATCCTCCATGATTATCTTTGAGTATATTCATATAATACTTGTTAGATGCTCCGTGATATATGTTTAGATTGTTCAAGTAATACCTGATATTTTTTTATTTTTCTCTATTACATGTTTTTTCATTATTTATGTTTTTTCTTATGTTTAGTTGTGATTTCCACGTAGTATACATATCATGTTCTATGATGCATTTTGTGATTCTCACTCAATATAAATATGATGTTCTACGATGATTTTGAGTATTCACGTATACTCGTGGCATGTTCTATGTATATATTAGGTTATTCTAGTAGTATCTATATGATGTTGTATATGTTTTTGTTACGTTCTTTTTTATACGTTGTTCCATATTATATTATATTTTTTCTTCCATTGATTTACATTTAATTATTATTTTCTTTTATTTCATACTTTTATTTTATTTCCATTGTTACGTGACTTCCCTAAACTTATGTGGTGAGTAAACTTTTTCGTACCCGTAGCACGACCATGATATGCGTCTCCTTCGCTCCGGCTCTCCGCCAATCGTCCCACGTGCTGCCACCTTGGCGACCCGAGTGACTCGTTCTCATACGCGTGTGTTGCACCATTTTGGAAAAAAAAAACGAGAAGCGAAGCGACGAGAAGAGCCAGTGATCCCAAGGCCAAAGCGATCACGGTGACCGACTGAGACGACGTGTGCGGCAACGCGCCACCTCAGCCGGACACCCGTCGCCGCGCCACCCGCCTCGCTCGAACCGCCCCCTACACGCGTCCAAACCCCTCGCGCCCATAAAACCCTCCGCTTCCCCAAAACCCAGCACGATCGATCAGCGTGCATCCCTGACAAGAGCACACGAACACAGCTAGTCAGCTAGTATTCGCGGCTGCAAAGCTTAAGCTCAGAAGATTAACAATGGCGGTAGTCTCGCGGTCGAGGAGCCGCGCTGTCCCCTCGGCGCTGCTGCTACTGCTGCTCCTGGCGGTGGCCTCGGCGGCAGCGGTGGGCGTGGCGGCCAAGACGAACGTCCACGACGTCGCGGAGGAGAGCAACAAGGAGGAGGAGTCATGGACGGGCTGGGCCAAGGACAAGATCTCCGAGGGGCTGGGGCTGAAGCT